CATATGCAGATGTAAAATCGACTTACGCAACTATGAATGCTAATATGAGAGTGAAGCAGCCTAGAATAATCACAGAGGAGAGTTTGGGACTAGAACCTTTGAGTAATGATGTATGTTCCACTTTGTGGACCATAAAAGTTATTCTTCTGATCGAAAACTCAAGCGAATGCTATGTACAACATATTTTTCTTGCCTCCCTGAAAAATTACACATCAACTATATTTTCCTCTTGTCTGTTGAGCTCGAAGAATTTTCCGGAAGCTATATTGACATCCAGTGACTGATGTTTTGTTTGATTGTTGCGTTTTCTTCGTAGGTACTTGCATTTTTTGCTCGGCGGATGATATCTGGAGAAACGTTACGAAGAAATAGTGTCATGCAGAAAAGAAGTGGAGATCAGGTGAATCAATAGTATAATTGTGAAGATGCTGCACATTTTTATATTATTAATAATGTGCTATCATTGAGACTGTCTTACTAGGAAAATAATGTTAATGTTCACATTAACTTTGTAATATGCCATCACTTGAATTTGTCCGACTACCTGCTGGTGGTGATTTTCTTAGCAGATTGTTATTGCTTTCACTTACCGGAGGAATAGAGAGCTTGTAAGCTGCAAGTATCGTGATATTAACAAAAAATTTTGGCAGGTACAATTCAATTCATAATTTTTTCTTCATAGCCGAGTTTATGGGCATTTCATCCTTTCGCATTTAAGGTATTCCCTCATGTAGAAGTAAAATTTTGTAGCAAATATGCTTTATTCTACGAGTCTCTTATTGTCAGCTGGTTTTGCAGGAAGCCAATACTGAAAAAATCTTTTATGGGCTGGATGATATAAAACAAGCAAGTGATGTCATCATTGTAATCACTGTTTTTCGGCTTTACTACATTAAATTATACATATACGACTCAAAACAACTTATATTTTATGTTCGTGTTTTCTAAGGTTGAAGGTGAAATGGACAAACTTGCGATGGAAGAAGCTGGCTTCAGAAACTGTGTGAGTGTCCCAGATGGTGCTCCTCCAAAAGTCTCGGACAAGGCTTTGCCCTGCCAAGAAGATGTACTGTTTATCCTTATTTTTTAATGAGATTCTATCTTTTACTTTGAATATTTTTTTTTTATAATGATATCACTTACGAAGCCTTTGATTAATTTCTTGTTATAGTTCATATTTGTTGTCAAAGTCTCCCTGGTCTTAGATGATTTTCCATATCCTTATCATGAACGTATTTTTTTTTTCTTTTCTTTTTTCTTTTTTTTTTTCTCTCTGAATAATTTTTCCTGTCACAAATTAATAATGTAAGATAATTTATAGCAGCAGTTGAGCAGAAAAAAGACTCATCATTATGTTATCAAATATTGTATTTTCCCAACAAGGTTTTTATCTGACTGAGTATTTCTAATTCTCTTCGTATGTTTTTTGAAGCTAGGACGTCAAGTACCAATACCTATGGAACTGCAAAGAGTATACGGAAAAGGTACACTACTTCGATTTTTTTTTCCTATTGTAATGATTTTTTTATTGTGAAGGCAAGTGGACCAAGTGAATACATTTTAATTTCTTTATATTTTGAAGGCATCTCGCATTATTCTTGCCACGGATAATGATGCCCCTGGTCAAGCCTTAGCTGAAGAACTTGCACGGCGTTTGGGGAGAGAAAGGTTCTCTTTTTAGCCATACATTTAAAACATGTGCATCATAATTTCATAAGGTTTCTATTTAAGAACTCAACAACTTTGGTTTAATTGGTTGAATTCAGGTGTTGGAGGGTGAAATGGCCTAAAAAGAATGAAACAGAAACATTCAAAGATGCAAATGAGGTCCGATAAACATTTCCGAACTTCTCATTGGCCAAGAAATTGTTTTATTCATTCATATATTGTCAAACTGTTTAGGGTGTGATTAGATATAATTTGAAAAAAAAAAAACAATCAAAACTCAATAACTCAACTCCATTATCGTCATTTTTATCTGTACTAGTAATGTGCACGTGCGATGCACGTGGTGACGAATATTTTTGGCCGATAAGATAAATTATTTAATTCATTAAATATATGATTGCAAGAACAAAATAAAATATAGAACAAATAAACTCTTAATATACATTTTTTTTTCAAAAACAACATAACGATGTCGTAACATAAAAACATGTTACAAACTCAACAAAAATATATAAAAAAATAAGTCCCTAATAATAAAAAAAACTAAATAAGAACCTAATGTATATTATAGATGCATGAGTTATTTTATCTATTTATAAGTTTCGAGAGTTATTTTTTTTTTTCATTTTAGTTTTGAGTTTTCATAAGAAACATTCATACTAATTGGAGTCCAATACATAAATAGTATTGCAAAATTATTCTTAATTAATTTAGTAAAACGTCTACTTTATTCAACACTTAGAAATACTTTAGCCAAGCATATAGTCAAACTTCATAATTGAATGATTATTATAAGGTATTTCAACTAACATTTCATAAATATCTCTGTGAAATAACTAACTGCGTCACTGAAATTCTTGACTTTTTTTAATCATTGTATAAACCACTACATTATTCTCTCTCTTTCTCTCTCCCCATATAGACAAATTGGTACCTATCATATGGGGTGAGAATGAATTTCATTTCTAAATAAAAGTTGATTTTTCAAAATCATGTACTTCTCCGAAAAGATGCTAAACTATTTTTAATATCATCACACATTACATAGATGTACATACTCTAAAGTAATTGCGCATATTCTCAAGCACAATACACAATTAAGATTGTAAATGTTTCTATTAAAAAGTGACAACTTACTCAAATATTCAAAAATATTTTGATCAGAATCGAACATTCCCTTTTCAGTGTTATTTATTTGGAAGATAGACAAACTACATAACCTATTGTTTGCAAATTATTAATTATTTTGGTTGTTGTAATGATTTCAGAGTTATATGTCTTAATACTTTTTCCAATCGATCGAATTTATAATATTAATTGAGAAGCATATCACTTTGTCAAAATATTTCAAATGAGAAGAATTTGAATTATATTATATTATGATACTCTTAGTCATATGAATTTTATTATTAAGACGTCATTATTAAAGTTTGTGGTCCATATCATGATAATATGGAATCATTATTTATGATTACCAATTTTTTATGGAGAAAATAATTTAAATGCTAGCTAAGAAAAGTAGTAAGTATAAATAAAAGATTTTTATTTCTTGATATTGGTACTCATGATACTCATACTTTTCTAAGAAAATTCAGACTTTTTTCTTTTCCATTTGCATTAACATTCTATTTATATGCATTGTTTTTTTAAACTTGTTTAATAGTAATAATATATTTGATAAAAGTGTAAATTTTTATTATTTATAATATTAAAAATTTTTAGATCTTTTTTCGATTATTTGATAAATATTAAGTAACTAACTCATTTTTATATTCACAAAAGTATATTTTACAACCATTATGGTGTTCCATTTCAAACAGTAATTGAATAATTGTTTAATATACGACTCATTAATTTTTTTTATTTTTTTTTTCACATAGTTAACATAGGTAATAGTTGTACGTTTACATTCATTCTCTTTTTTCCTGGTATGAATATTTCAAATACATGTAAGAAAAAATATAGCAAAAGTTTATCTATTGTCATTTTATAATTAATTATTTAAATTGAGTTAACATGTGTCTATAATTTATTTTATAAGATACTTTTAGATCTATTTATTATTTTAACTTGGTTCAATAAAAATAAATATTTTATTTTTATTTTATGACCAAATCAAACATGATGGGAAAGAAATAATGTGATATATCACATAAATAAAAAATATTAAATATTTCAAAATAAAAAAATTAAAAAACATAAAAAGAATTAAGACTAACATACTGATTTCTAATACAATATATATATATATATATGTATTTATGAATATGCATCTTAAGTATGTTTTACTTTATCATTCGCCAGCTTCAATTGATATAGGACATTTATTAATTTTATAATTTTTTTTTACTTTAATTTGGATGGAATGTGAGCTATAAGCTTTCTTGTTGTGTAGTATTATCTTTTTTTTTTTATACATAGAACTTCATTCTTACCTCTTGTTTAGCTATTACGCTAATAAATAAAAACAGACTTTTCAACCTAGATATAACTTTTGTAAAAAAAGAAACACTAATTATCATAAGTAAAATCATAATACATTGAATATGTTATATTTTGTATCATTGTCAATGATTTTCAAAATAGTTAATTGCACACAATATTATATATAGTGTAAAATTGTTTAATTTGACTTGGATTCACTTTTACTGTAAACAAATGATAAAATTCCAATGAAAACATGTTACATTGAAATTTTAATGATTTTTTTTATAAGAAATTGCTTTGTGAGAATAATACAAATAAATAGATAGATAAGTAATTTAATTAATTTTAAAGGTATATAGGCATATCATGATTCTCCATATATTTTTAATTAAATTATAGATAATCGTATGATCTAAATTAAATCATGTTGCTCAAGTGGTATCCCATTCGACATGAAAATAAATAGTATGGGTTTTAATTTTATACAATTTCATAAAATTGCTCTAATCTTATTTTAAGAAGGAAATTGAGTATATTAGAAGTTTAGGCTGCAAAATAAGAATTCAACCGTTCTCATACTACTATACAATTTATTTTTTTTATAGGTTATTTGGAAAAACAAAAAATGTTTATATACTTTATGGGCATTATGAGAAAAAACACTATCGATTTCAATTTTCTTACTTATATGTTAATGTGATTTTAAATTCTACTGTCTTTTATATTTTTATGATCTATTCAAATTTTTTGAATAATTATTTTCAATTAACCAATCACAAGAAGTACATTACATAATGGACATTGCCAAATATATCGAAAGTTGAAAAAAATAATATTTAAAAGTAATAGTGAAAAAAGATTGCATGAAAATTTTGATTTGAGAAACCTTCATTATCTAAGTTAGTCTTGTTTATTCGAAATATTTTTTATTTGGGGAAGATTGATAAATATGAACAGTAAAACTAAATTAAAATCTTTTACATGAATAATTGCATATGATAGTTTACAATTTTTTCTTCTTATTGTTGAAAGGGACCATCCTTTGTCATTATTTTTATTAACAAAATATAGCAGTTGTAATTCAACTGGCATATGTTAGCAAAGTTTTTATACATTGTTCATATTATCTTCCCTTTTTCCAGTAAAATACTTTCCGTATGCTTTTTTTTCATTTGATCTAATTAATTATATATTTTCGTCAGTTATAAATATTTATTAATATTCAAGTTTTGGTTGAATTTCATTTTTTTTCCATTCAAATACTATTATATTTTTCATGAACCATTACAAACATATGGTACACAATTTGATTTAGATTTCAATAATCTTAAAAAATAATTTAAAAACATTAAAACAATTATTTGGTAAATTGTATTTTCTTTTTTATTTTTTGCTTAATAAATAAATTTGATTTAAATTGAAGATTGTATAATGAGCAATAGCTTTGGCCTCCATGTTACATTTAATGCTAAAATAATTGTTATTAATAAACTTATGAAATTAAATAAATATTTTTAAGAAATTGATCTTATATACTTACGGTTAAATAAACTCTTAAAATTATTGAGAAAATCATAAAAATATTTACAAATCTTAAAATAATGTCAATAAATAAAATATTTAAT